CATTCTTCAACACTCCTCCATTCTCTATCATAATCATCCCTAATATATCTTAGTACCATCCCTGATAGCTTTTAATACTGTACCTAGCATTCTTCAACCTTGTCTTTGTCGTCTCTCAACTCTTCTACATTATCTATTAATACCTCCCATGATATCTCTCAACATTGTCCCTAGTATCTTCCAATATCATCCCTGGTTTTCCTCAACATAGTCGAGGATATTCCAGAATATGGTCATTGATATTCATTAACAGAATCTCTATCAACACTCGACATCTTCTCCATCATTAATTCATATCGCTCTTGATATCTCTAATTATCATCTCGGATATCTCTTAACATTGTCTTTGATATCTTCTAATATCGTCTCGTAAATATAGTCTACAGCATTCCTCAACATCATATCCTCATGATCATATCAACATAATCCCTAACATTCTTCAATACTCCTCCATTCTCTATCATTATTATCCCTAATATCTCTCAGTATCATCCTTTATATCTTTTAATACTATACCTATCATTCTTCAACCTTGTCTTTAACATCTCTCAACTCTTCTCCATTATTTGTCAATACCTTCCGTGATATCTCTCAACATTGTCCCTAGTATCTCTCAATATCATCCCTGGTTTTCGCCAAGATAGTCGAGGATATCCCAGAATATGGTCATTAATAATTATCTTTGATATCATCTAATACATTGTATTGATCTTCTTTGCTGTATTCAATATTATCTGCACGTATTTACTAAAAACAACTATTATGATAACAGAAATTTTAATTGAAGCTCCAACTTAAATCAATATTCCTTCAAACTGATACTTTGAATTTACATTTCACATTTCCCCTCAAGTATCCAAGTAAAGCCGTTAACACCTACCGCAATGATAATAATAGTAATAAAGGGGAAATCCCCTTGCCACGTTCTCCTCTTCCTTAATATCCTCTAAGAACACCTTAAAGTGGTATTAAGACATTCCCGTCAGCTAATTTCGCGGAATTCTCAACGTAATAATTACGTAGAAAGACGTAAAAAGCTTATATCTTTTTCGTGATGAAAAATACTGTCGATCTTTCAAGCTATTTCCAATAATAAAAAAGCACGACGAATAGCTGCAATATGTCACGGGGGAAACCCTCTCTAGAGACAGAGGCCGAAGAACCTCCCGTATCCCAAGAGTGAATGATGGGGACTAGTTCTTAGCGAAATTTATGTCACTGGTGTCACAGGCAGAATTTGGTGGAGAATCGATGTTTTGCGCCTACAGGAATTTGCATTCTAGCTGCAGGAACGCCAGATCTCTCCCCCTTCCTTTAAGGGATTTAGCTGAAGGGGAGTGCATAAGTCCCAGAAAGATTCCGACATTAACATAAAGATGATGTACGATCTTCAAGCTTTCCCTTTATTTTTTTCTTTCTTAGACATGTTTTTTAAGATTTCTTTTGAAATTATTTAATTTTGTTTCAAATAATTCGATATTCGTGTAGTTTGTAATAATTATTGTGTTCGACGCTTAATAAAGGGCGTTTTGATGAGAATAATCCGGTAAAGAGGAGATGAATTAAGGGTCGAGATGGTAACGGATTTTACTTTAGGGAACGGTTACTAATAACCTCGGGAAATTTACTTAACCGGAAGCTCGAAATTCATAGTGTACTTTGTAAACTAACGTTATTTACTCGATTTATATTTTTTTGGTTTTTGTATATTTTATCATGTTTGTATACTGGGGATTTCATATAACTCAATATTTTAATGCAATATATGAATGCAGTAATCATAGTTACGAAACTACTATGATATTATAAATGATACTAGTTCTGCTAGACTACCTATCTACTATACTATCTAATATATGTACTTTTCTAATACGTATATTTAACCTTTCAAATACTACAATAAAAATATACAATAAACTAGTGTTGAATAACAATTAAAACTAGAACTAACACTACACCTAGAACTAGAAATATTCGGGTTTAGCCGCACGTCTCTAAAGACGGCTAAACCCGATGATTCTAGTTCTAGGTATAGTGTTAGTTCTAGTTTTACACTAGCACTGTTACTATGCAGAACTAACACTATACTTAGAACTAGAATCATTCGGGTTTAGCCGCACGTCTCTAAAGACGGCTAAACCCGATGATTCTAGTTCTAGGTATAGTGTTAGTTCTAGTTTTACACTAGCACTGTTACTATGCAGAACTAACACTATACTTAGAACTAGAATCATTCGGGTTTAGCCGCACGTCTCTAAAGACGGCTAAACCCGAATGATTCTAGTTCTAGGTATAGTGTTAGTTCTAATGATAGTGCAAGTGTAAAACTAGAACTAACGCTAGATTTAGAACTAGAATCATTTGGGTTTAGCCGCACGTCTTTCAAGATGGCTAAATCCGAATGATTCTAGTTCTAGGTCTTGTGTTAGTTCTAGTGATAGTGCTACTGCAAAACTAGAACTAACACTAGATCGAGAACTAGAAACATTCGGATTTAGCCGTACGTCTTTCAAGACGGCTAAACCCGATTGGTTCTAGTTCTAGGTCTTGTGTTAGTTCTAGTGATAGTGCCAGAGTAAAACTAGAACTAACACTAGACTTAGAACTAGAATCATTTGGGTTTAGCTGCACGTCTTTCAAGACGGCTAAACCCAAATGATGAAATACTAGGGACAATGTTGAAAGATATCATAGAAGGTATTAATAGATAATGGAGAAGAGTTGAGAGTTGACAGAGACAAGGTTGAAGAATGCTAGGTACAGTATTAAAAGATATCAGGGATGGTACTAAGAGATATTAGGGATGATTATGATAGAGAATCGTGGAGTGTTGAAGAATGTTAGGGATTATATTGATAATATGATCATGAGGATATGATGTTGAGGAATGCTGTAGACTATATTTAAGAGACGATATTAGAAGATATCAAAGACAATGTTAAGAGATATCCGATATGATAATTAGAGATATCAAGGGCGATATGAATTAATGATTGAGAAGATGTTGTGTGTTGATAGAGATTTTGTTAATAAATATCAATGACCATATTCTGGGATATCCTCGACTCTATTGGGGAAAACCAGAGATGATATTGGAAGATACTAGGGACGATGTTGAGAGATATCATGGAAGGTATTAATAGATAATGGAGAAGAGTTGAGAGATGACAAAGACAAGGTTGAAGAATGCTAGGTACAATATTAAAAGATATCAGGGATGGTACTAAGAGATAAACTGCTACTAAGAGAATGTTAAGAGATATCCGAGATGATAATTAGAGATATCAAGGTTTAGCCGTACTTCTTTCAAGATGGCTAAACCCGAGTGATTCTAGTTCTAGGTCTTGTGTTAGTTCTAGTGATAGTGCTAGCGCAAAACTAGAACTAACACTAGACCTAAAACTAGAATCATTTGGGTTTAGCCGCACGTCTTTCAAGACGGCTAAACCCGAATGATTCTAGTTCTAGGTCTTGTGTTAGTTCTAGTAATATTGTATGGCGCTATCTACCAGCCATCTTAAGAGAGGTACGGCTAATCGGAATGTTTCTAGTTCTAATGCTAGTGTTAGTCTAGTTTTATTTGTTATTCAACGCTGGATTGTTGTATATTTTTATTGATCTATAGGTATATCAATAAAGGTATATATAGTAGACGCCACGAAAGCTGGCAGTAAATCATCGTTTTCCGCTCTTACAAATGCCATACGTAGTTCACAAACCGCTAGAGAGTAATGTGTGTTGGAAAGAGATAGCATTAGTTTAATATGTCTGCTGTACAATTCAAATGGCCACGTCAAAAAAGTACGTCTGTTCTTCTAAGAGATGTCACTTTATAATTATAACCTCAAATCGAAACGTCTTGTGAGCGTTGTCATGAATCTGTTAGTGTTTTCACAAGCCGAAAATGTTTTCTTTGAAAGGAAAATCATTAAATAATATCTTTGACAATGTTTGACGTATAACCTCCGTTACTAACATAACCTACATTTAAATGTATGTAGTGAAATAATCTAAGTCTTACGTGTCCATATCTTGATTCATACCATTTTTAAGCGATCTGTCACTGCCAGCTCTCGTGGTTTCTACTATATCAAGGTTTTACTGTAATGTCAAATTATATTGATATGTTGCATTTTATGTGGAACAAAGTAAATAGTTTTCTATGGAAATATATTTTTATATATTGCATCTTAAGTGAAATCCACTGTATATATTAACGTTTATTCGTCAAAACCAGACCCTTTAGATGAAAAATGCCCTTCCATTCAATAATCCCTTGGAATCCGGTGGATTTTTCATCTTCCATTCCGCCAACTTGGCCCATTGTGCACGTCAAAATATTGCTTCCGGTGCAGTGGAAAGGGCGCGCGAAACAAAATGTCGTGCGGATTCCTTCAAAGTTAAAGGCTTCGTGGGACAAAAGGGGGGTTGGGTTAAAAGTACAATGGAATCGCTTGCAAGGGTTGTTTTTCCGCGGGGGGGTTCCATATTGTCACCTCTTTGGTCATTTTTTTTTTTTTTTTTAATTTACAGGTTGGATGGAATTTCGTCTATTTTTTTTTTTTTAGGTGGCTTTGTGGCGAATTTAATTACAACTTCCCCTATGGATAATAAATTTTCTGTTGTCGAACAAAAATTTTCTCTTTGAGGGTGGTATTTCGCTAAATTTTAATTTTTATTCTATTCTGAGTTCGTTTGTTTGTTTTCATGATTCATTTATCTTTAACCAAATAAATAACGATTTCCTTACAGTAAATTCAAATTAGACAGCTCATTATTGTAACACAATTCTCGTTGGTTTAATGACCTATTTAACTCCAAATTATACTCGCATCATTAACGCTCCTTAAAATTTAACAGATTTTAGTGTGTTTTAAAGCGTTGCAATGAATCGGTTTGTTACAAAAATATTTATTGATCAAACCAAAAAAGTTATTATGTAAGATTTTTTTTTAACTCAATATTCGTGTTTTTAATGTACCTTTTTTATTTCATTTCAGAAGTGATGTCTTTTTGGAACAACATTTTCAAGGATTGGGTGATCGTCCAAACCCATCCGTTGCAACTTCTTCACCATCAACTCCTCCTCTTTTAAATGTAGCACCATTTTTCCTCCCAGCGACTCCATCTCGATCACCATCGAGGGAATCATTAATCTCTTCAAATGGTGGATCGGAAGCTGGGAGCGAAGATAGTGGTGATACCGGATATGGTGCAGCTTGCGATATTGGATTAGTAGAAAGATTGATAAGATCCCACCCGATTTGGTTTTTACCCGGAATTCAACGTGCTGGAGCGTTCCACTTGTTACAAGGAAAAGAAGAGGGTTGTTTCGTGGTGAGACAATCATCCCAAGCGGACACAATGGCGCTCTCAGTGCGATTACCACCGGATAAGGGCCCATACATTGAACATTATTTAATACAATCCAGCAGCGGGAAATTAGGGTTAGAAACCAGCGAGAACCGGTTCGATAACATGCCGGCTTTGATAGCACATTACGCAAACTGCTGTGATGAACTTCCCGTGCAATTATCTTTGCCGAAAGCAATTCGAGAAGCCAAATCTCGCCAACAACTTTCATCTTTCGCCCTCCTCGGACAAGAATTTTGGAGGTACAGCCCTCCACCATCAGCTTCTTCGAGTCCCGACGCGGATTTAGTTTTAAATTTAAACCCGTTAATGAGCAGTTTTAAACCCGCAGAACCATCGACACCAGTCGTTAAAGATAAACCAACAAGACCAAACACGCTAAATTTAATCAATAACTTGGATAAACCCGAAGTGGGAATCGGAGTCAAAGTCCTACCATCATTTAAAAACGAAAAAACACCCCCCGCGCCGCCCCCAAGATGGTCTAAACCAACAACCCCACAAAACAATTACACAGTAACAACAACAGTAACATTTAGCGTCAATTCATCACAAAATATTAGCCCAGAACATGAAATCGTTTGCGACCCGAAAAGAATGTCACCGGAAGGACAAACATCAACGATGTCTTCTAAAGGAAGTTTAAGGAGAGGACCCGAACATGTGACATCACCAAACGGCTCCGTTTTATCGCCAAATTCAGACCCAAGTTTAATGTCACCGGACACTTTATCGCCGCTTTCAATTACAAAAACTAGTAGAGGAAGTAAAAGAGGGAAACAAAAAATTTCTAAACACTACCAAGAAAGCGATATTTTAGATTCACCAACTGTTTACTACACAAGCGCCGTCGGTGATAAAATCAGCGATTACGAAGATTTATGGACGAACGAAAACCACAAGAATAAAAATTTAGCCTCACCTGATTTACTTCAACACACACCGACGGTTTTATCGTTAAATAACAACATTTTAAGTCCGACCGAGTCGACGAACTCGCACACCAGCTCATCGGTTACTCCTAATAACAGTAACTTAAAGGACGGCGAAACCCCGTCTCCGAAACAAGGTAGCCCTTTTTATGCGGAACCCGCGGATTCTTTGGCTCAAAACGTAGCGGTTCCGAGGAGGATTTTTCCTACGAGAAATACCGTGCAAATGCAACAGAGACATTCGAATCCAGCCGTTTTACACTCGCACGGTTTAGTCAGTCCCGGATTTGAAAGAGTCGAAGAATTTTCGGGAATGTCGTCGAGCGTTGATAATCTTAGTCCGAAACCGAGAATTTCTATTAAAAAACCAGAAGTTAAACCTGTGATGCCTCCATGTATAAAACCTAAAAATACCGATACTTGGCAAGTTGATAATAGTTGGAAGTTTGTAGGTGAGTAAAAAATTTTTTGTTTTTATTAATTAGTGTTCCAATATCAAAAATAATTATAATTTTTATTGGTGTTAATGTTTAATCCAAAAATGCAGCAAAATCAGTTTAAGGTGCTCTTTAGTTCCATTGATTTGTGTTTAATGGGTAATAAAATTTTTGGAAATTCTCAAATATTCTTATAAAGCTGATACATTCCGTTTAGCCATGCGTCTCTTAAGACGGCTAAACTGGAATATTTCTAGTTCTAGGTCTAGTGTTAGTTCTAGTTTTACACTAGCATTATCACTAGAACTAACACAAGACCTAGAACTAGAATCATTCGGGTTTAGCCGTCTTTAGAGACGTGCGGCTAAATCCGAATGTTTCTAGTTGTCGGTCTAGTGTTGGTTCTAGTTTTGCACTAGCATTATCACTAGAACTAACACAAGACCTAGAACTAAAATCATTTGGGTTTAGCCGTGCTGAGGGACGTGTGGCTAAATCCGAATGTTTCTAGTTCTCGGTCTAGTGTTGGTTCTAGTTTTGCACTAGCATTATCACTAGAACTAACACAAGACCTAGAATTAGAATCATTTGGATTTAGCCGTCCTGAGGGACGTGCGGCTAAACCCGAATGTTTCTAGTTCTAAGTCTAGAGTTAGTTGTAGTTTTAAATGTTATTTAGAATGTGGTATCTATTTATTGAACGAAAGGTAGAACTAACACTAGACGTAGAACCAGGGGTTCACAACATTCGGGTTTAGTCGTGCACTATTAAGCGCCCTTCAATATATATTGTCAATAAAATATTGTCAATATGGCCAATAAATATTGACAAACTGTAATTGCCTCAGACTATCAATATTTATTGACAATCTACTTAGTTTTGCGTTGGCAGTCAAAGATGTCATGTCATGTTTGCATGTGTTAATGAACCATCCACTTAATAGCACTTTCGTCCATTAAAGTATATCTGTCTGTATTCATTATTACTCGATATAATCCGTAATATAATCCTACTAACGTAGGATTGGCAATATCTTCCTCAGATTGTCAATATTTATTATCAATGTATCAAATATTTTCGTTTTCGTCAAACCATCCCATCAATATTTTTAATATTAACAATATGTCAATCTTTCTACTCATACGTTCAATAATATTGTCAATACTCAGATATTGACAATATACAGGTGTCCCACGTACCTCATTCATTAGAACCAGGTTCCACTATTTGTAGAGATTTGAAATTTGTATAGCATGGGTTTCTTCATTCGGTACTTTCGATCTAAAGTATTTTCAAGATGGCCGCCACTTCCGGTCTACCGGAAGTAGATCATAACTTCGTTATTTTAAATGGAATGCTATAGTTTTTATTACACCTTCTAATTGTACGTGAAAAAATAAGTTGACTTTCATCAAAGTTATTGGTACCAAGCGTCTTTCGTTTTCGAGTTATTTTGTTTCTAAGTTTTCTGTGGCAAATTTCACCATGCTGTTTAAAACCCCATATCCCAGCTAACGTTCATTCAAAAATGCTCTAAATTGGCACGATTACTCTTCAGATGCTATCAAATAGATAAGCAAAATTGATGTGCAAGTGCATAGTAGTTTCGTAACTATGGTTACTGCATTGATATATTGCGAGTATTTCATATATGAAATTCCCTGTATAGACAGAACATTACCAGTCCATGCTTCACTACAGTGTGTTCAATAAAGTAGTTTCAAACAATTGGCTCAAAGGTACTCAAAAACTGAGGTTGACCTTGAATCCATCTTCTGAAGTTTTCCTTCTCTCCAGCAAGACCCTTGAGTTGCTGCATAGTTTTTCCTCGTTTGGCCGCAATCTGCGTCACTGTTCCATGTAACATTATTGCTGCCGGGCCCTCTCGTCAGCGCAACCTATAAGATCTATTGTAACTTAAGCCCCCCAAAGGTTGAGGATAAATGTAGCTCCTTGATGAACCTTAGTATTGCTCCAAAATTTTGTGTCTTATGCGACACATTCACACAGTATACAAGGTGTAAAATGTCTGGAAAAAGATGTCAAATGTCTGGAATATAGCCAATAACTTCGACATTTGTGGTTTTATAGAAAAATGTTTCAAATACAAGTTTCTTTATTAATCGTGGCGCATTTTTTGGCGATGTTTGCTTGTTTGTATTGTTTTTTGTTTCGTTGCTATGGCAACCAACATTGTTATTTGTTAATGGGATGCATATATTTTCTTTGCACACTTTGATAGAGGATAAATCTCTCTATGCGATGAACATATCAAATCATATGGTTGTATAAGAAAAGATCGTTTTCTGAAAATATTAAATCAGCAAATTACAATCCAAGTAGGTGCCGAAATAACGCAGTTGGCAATTTTAAATGTCCAAAAAATTACAGTTTCAACAATTATGAATAATTGATAATGTATGGGTACAGTGACAGACATTTAATGTAATTTCGTCATTGGTAGCTGTCTTCGGCCGTCCACTTTTTGGAAAGATTTTTAACACTTCTGGTGTTAAAGAATTTTTTTAATGTTTTTTTAATGTTTCGGATTGTTTAATTTGTGTATCCGAGTAAATATTACTGAACAGTGTACAAACATTTTTCTTTAAAACCACAAATGGCGAAGTTATTGGCTATATTCCAGACATTTGAGCTGTATATTCAGTAGTCTCTGAGTCGTCGTTGCAAAGTTGACAACTTAGATCCTCAGCTTGTCCAATATAGAAGAGGTGATATTTTAGGGGCGCATGGCCGGTCAGGAAACTTGAGAGCCACCTTAGATCCTCTTTGCTGAGGTATAAAACCTATTTGGATTTGTTTTGCGACGTCTGTCTGTGACCTGGAAGTTCTTTCCAGCATAAGTCTACCTTTGAGACCTCCTAACTATTAATTACCTGTTTTAAGTGCCATGTTTGTAATCCACATAGGTGGTCCAATGTCTTTGTAACCTGGAACCCGCGATAGAGTAACATCATTGCCCTTAGCGAGTTATCTCAGGTTGCTGGTACACTCTCTGATCATTACGGAGTCACACGTGTATTGCCTTTAATGCACCTTTCTGTCCCTTTTCTAGGTTCAAAACGGCGCAGAAGTTTATAGCAAGAACTTTTGCTTAAAAAATGGTTATGTCCGAGCTGAGGGGCAATTTAATTTGGTTCCAACTGTCTTTGAAGCATCAGTGTACCAGGTTCATCTTTTAAGTTGAGGTTCACCCTTCGTCCAATCATCCCTGCTTCTATATATGACCTTATACAGTTGGTTGAAATTATATCTGTCGGTATTAGGTCAGTTTTAATTCCAATCAAGTGGTTTAGACATGGGTCCTTGAAGATTTCGAGGTGTCCTCTGAGGTTACCCTGCATCAACTTTAGTGAAGAGTATGTTTTCAGTGATACGGCACTTAAAGCTGTCTCCTATTCTATGACAAGATCTTATTGCACCTGTTATATTAAGACATGTTAACCACTGGATTTGTGCCAGTTGTTGTTGTGCTATATTGTGATTTGTTTCTGGCCACCAAACGTTTCGTGTATAATATATATATGTTACTGCAAAAGCCCGACCTACGGTAAATTTTAAGTTTAACTAGTAAATCTTAAGATTTACCAACATGGGTTGGTAAATGTGAGGATTTTTTAAACAAGAGATAATTTTTCTGGCTTCGTTGGTTTTGAGAATAAAACAACAGTTATTTTTCATACAAGATAGTGAAATGACTCTTTTGAAGTATAGGCTTGATGACAATGCCCTTTTTCTTCTGTTCAGCTTCAAATATGTCATAATAGCCTTAACTGTTACATTTTTATAGTTACAGTTACATACCTTAAGCATCCTTGTCCTTCCATCGTGTCCAACAGCAACATGTGATTCTTCGAGAATCTTCAATATGTCCTCGTAACATAATACTTCTTCATTCCCTTCCTTAATCGGCGTAATTAGCTCTTCTTCGCCGCCTATAATCAAAATATCATAACACTTTAATCGCCTATAATGCTCGACTTCATTCCTTTGCATATTTGTCCTTGTCGATATAAAAATTATTATCGTTTCTTTTTTACACTCATTTTGATTGACAAGTTACTTTTTTGACATCAAAAACAAACAGAAATCAAAACAAACGTGTGAAATGGTCGATTGAGACAAGTGAGGAGGTGGTATGGGTAGCGGGGGCTGCAGATTGCCCATGAGTACGAGAACATGCACCAAATACGTGTTTATTTTTTGACATTTACCGTGTCTTTGCGGTAAAACCTTAGATTTACCGAGTGAATGGTGGTAAAAGTACGAAATGAACGATGATCACAGAACATTTCGGACTTTTACCATTCATAGTTGGTAAATATTAGGTTTCGCTGGAAAATTTTAGGATTTACCGTAGTTGTCTTCTATTAATCCGTTTATTTCTGAGTCTATCGTCTTGAATCATTAAGTTATCTCAGCGACAGCGTTCGGTGATTTCCCTGAAATGCCATGCTCATTTCCAGATGAATTCGGGCTGTCTTTTCCGAGTCCTGACTTTTCCCGCCAGTACTTTGGCTAATTGCAGCTACCATGTCTCACCAGGGTCGCCACATCCCTACGACAAAATACGAGAAATGTAAATAATAAAAAAAATATGTAAATTCATTAATTCAACAACTAAATAATATTTGTAAAGAACATTCATCCAAAATTTGTTCCCATTTTTTATCTAATCTGAATTAGTATTTACTTTAAAAAAAGATAAGGAACAACTCGCTCTTGAAATTGTTTGATTTATTCGACGAATTGAATCGGCGCCACATTCAGTAGTGACTAAGGTTTTTAACAGAACGGATTTTCCCAAAAAAAAATAATCCCTTTGTATCAAATGAAACGTGTAATTTCAATGCAAATTCGAGAACCGAGCTTAGTACTCATAATTAATGTCGTCTTAATTAGTAAACTTGGTTCGAAGGTCCTCGATATTAATTTCTCGAAATCTTCGTCTAAATCCCGGGTTTAATTCACTGCGCATTGTCTTCGAAATCTAACGCAAACTCGTGTATGTATGTATCGCCTCGTTTAAAGTTTGGGATGAAGTTTTCGGTTAAATTAGACGTAAACGAGAAACAATTAGAAACGATTATTGGAACTCTTAATGATTTGTTTTAATTGCTTCACTTTCATGAGAAGTAAACTAATTAAGTTTAATTTTTTTTTGTAGAACAACCAGAAGTTAGTGTAGATTCAAGCGAACCAGATTACGACACTGATTGGCCAGCGACAATTCCAAATTTTCATTTAATGCCTTTTGAGCGGGAAAATAGTGATAGAAGGATTAGTATACAGGAGATGATTTCAAAGAAGTATGTAAATTTATATCATTTTTTTAAATTTTAATGAGTAATTTTAGATTTCCTGATATAAGAATGTCGGCTGATACAACAGACGAAGAATTAGAATGTAGAATGTCAGCTTATGATAATGTGGATGATCGAAGAGTTCCAAGAGCTCCTCCATCAGAAATAAGCGAATTAACCGAGTTTTCTGATCCTTGGGCAGAAATAACACATAGTGTATCAAATACTGAGGTAATAACACAACCTTAATAATAATCAATTTCTTTTTAAATAAAAAATTTTCTTTCAAGACGGAAGATATAAGTTTTTCCGAACCACAGTCAACGAAATCACCGCCAATAACACGAACGAAAAGCTTTAAAGACCGATTAGATCCACTTCTCTGTAAAAAATTAACTCAATACAATCTTTAAAATACTAATTACTTTTATTGTAGCTGCTCCTAGACTTCAAGCTTTAAGAAGTAGAGATCAAGGAGATTCGAGAGCAGTTGGGGCAGCGATTAGAAATTATGCCTTGGAATTAGCCAATGATAAATCAACAACTTTTGCTCAAAACATCGATAATTTTATAGCGTGTACTAAAGAATCTAGGGAAGATAGTCCACAGATTGTTATGAGAAATATGAGACAATTTATGTCTGGAATGAAGAATTATTTGGTTAAACACGGCGAAAAAGGCTTTGACAAAGAAGTCGAAAGGGAAAGAAACAAATTAAAATCGACCGAGTTTTTAAATTTAGACGCAATTTTAGAGGGAGTTTTACACTGTTTAGTCGTTTCGCCACTTAAAAATCACCTCCATAAATTGTTTATTGATAAATACACCAAAACCGGAGCTATCGTACTTTTAGCTGAAAACATTAAGTACGCTATGACGAGGCCGACATCAGAACTTGCCATAAAAGTAAGTCACAACAAAATTAATTAAAAAAAAAAATTAAAATTATAATTCAATTTTAATTTTAGCCCAAAATAACTCTACCGAATGATGCAGCTCTCCAAACGATTCAACAATATTTAAATCGTCTTCAAGCTGCTGATTCTCCTTTAGAAAAACTCGAATATCTTTTAGCAGCCATCGCTGCTATTTTTAACTCGGTAAAAACAACCCAACTTACTGGTTCTGGAAGAAATATGACTTTAGGAGCTGATGATTTTCTTCCATTATTCGTTTGGGTGCTTGTAAAAACTAATTTTGTTGCTGCTGAAATCGAAGCTGAATATATGTGGGGTAATTAGATTTAATAATTATTTATGTAACCAGTTATGAAAAGATTAATTACGTGAGTTAAACAAAATTAGCCGTTTCATAACGTGTTAAGTACAAAATCTAATTCCATTGAAAAAGCAATTTTTGTTCAAAACTTGACTTATTCTATTAGTGACAGATGTCAATTTATCAATTTGTAGTTAGGTTATGAAATCATTACTTCACTAATTATAAAAAAAGTTAAGTTACATAACGTCAGAAAGACATGTAATAGTTATTTACGTAACCAGTTATGAAAAGACTAATTTTTAAACCAAATTAACCGTTTCATAACGTGTTAAGTACAAAATTTTATCTAATTCCATTGAGAAAGCAATTTTTGTTCAAAACTTGACTTATTTGATTAGTGACAGATGTCAATTTATCAATTTATAGTTAGGTAATGAAATCATTACATCGCTAGTTATAAAAAAATAGAAATTAAAAAGAAAAACCGTTTCATAACGTGTTAAGTACAAAATTTTATCTAATTCCATTGAAAAAGCAATTTTTGTTCAAAACTTGACTTATTCTATTAGTGACAGATGTCAATTTATCAATTTGTAGTTAGGTAATGAAATCATTACATCACTAGTTATAAAAAAAGTTAAGTTACATAACGTCAGCAAGACTTGTAATAATTATTTACATAACCAGTTATGAAAAGACTAATTTTTAAACAAAATTAACCGTTTCATAACGTGTTAAGTACAAAATTTTATCTAATTCCATTGAAAAAGCAATTTTTGTTCAAAACTTGACTTATTCTATTAGTGACAGATGTCAATTTATCAATTTGTAGTTAGGTAATGAAATCATTACATCACTAGTTATAAAAGAAGTTAAGTTACATAACGTCAGCAAGACTTGTAATAATTATTTACGCAACCAGTTATGAAAAGACTAATTTTTAAACAAAATTAACCGTTTCAGAACGTATTAAGTACAAAATTTTATCTAATTCCATTGAGAAATCAATTTTTGTTCAAAACTTTACTTATTTTATTAGTGACAGATGTCAATTTATCAATTTGTAGTTAGGTAATGAAATCATTACATCACTAGTTATAAAAAAAGTTAAGTTACATAACGTCAGCAAGACTTGTAATAATTATTTACATAATCAGCTATGAAAAGACTAATTTTTAAACAAAATTAACCGTTTCATAATGTGTTAAGTACAAAATTTTATCTAATTCCATTGAGAAAGCAATTTTTGTTCAAAACTTGACTTATTTGATTAGTGACAGATGTCAATTTATCAATTTGTAGTTAGGTAATGAAATCATTACATCACTAGTTATAAAAAAAGTTAAGTTACATAACGTCAGCAAGACTTGTAATAATTATTTACATAACCAGCTATGAAAAGACTAATTGTTAAACAAAATTAACCGTTTCATAATGTGTTAAGTACAAAATTTTATTTAATTCCATTGAGAAAGCAATTTTTGTTCAAAACTTGACTTATTTGCTTAGTGACAGATGTCAATTTATCTATTTGTAGTTAAGTAATGAAATCATTACATCACTAGTTATAAAAAAAGTTAAGTTACATAACGTCACAAAGACTTGTAATAGTTATTTACGTAACCAGTTATGAAAAGACTAATTTTTAAACAAAATTAACCGTTTCATAACGTGTTAAGTACAAAATTTTATCTAATTCCATTGAAAAAGCAATTTTTGTTCGAAACTTGACTTATTCTATTAGTGACAGATGTCAATTTATCAATTTGTAGTTAGGTAATGACATCATTACATCACTAGTTATAAAAAAAGTCATCAGAAAGACATGTAATAGTTATTTACGTAACCACCTATGAAAAGACTAATTTTTAAACAAAATGAGCAGTTTCATAACGCGTTAAGTACCAAATTTTATCAAACTCCATTGAAAAAGCAATTTTTGTTCAAAACTTGACTTATTAGATGTCAATTTATCAATTTATAGTTAAATAATGAAATCATTACATCACTAGTTATAAAAAAAGTTAATTTACATAACGTCAGAAAGACATAAAATTTAATTTTCATAATGGAATTAGGTAAATTTATTTAATACATTCGTTGTAAATATTCGTTTTTTAGGTTTATTACATCCCGCTTTATTATCAGGAGAGGGAGGTTATTATCTTACGACGTTATCTTCAGCAGTACATGTACTTAAAAACTTTAAAGAAAGCAGTGAAGAAAACTTTAAGAACAATTTGAAAACAGATGTGAGTGTACTCAAAGTATGTCTTTATTTTTTATTCTATTTCGTGTGTGGCACTAACAGCTTCAACTAACGATATAGATTAGTATTAACATGGATTAATATAGTTTATTTTTACTATAATACAACATTTAGTGTAATAAATTCTTTTATTTTAGTCCGTATTAAAAGTAGTCGTCCCTGATGAACTACACGGCTCAATTTTAACAAAAACACTTCCTGCTAGGCCCCACATGACCACGAAAGAAGTTTGTAAGATAATTGCTCATAAGGCAAGGATAACAAATCCGCAGGATTACGCCTTGTATCGATTAGTAGATGGAGAAGGTAATTATTATTAATTATAGCGATTAATAAAATTGTAATGAATTATTATTATTTGTAGAAACTCTTTTGGGCGATAACGAATGCCCACAAGAATTTATGATGTGTGAAGGAAAACATGTGATGCTTGCCTATAAAAGGATCGACGCGAAAATCGCTTGGCCCAAGCAACAAACTAACTAGTACTAGTCATTTCTTTATTATAATATCATACCGGCTGTTTGATGTGTAATTAATTTTAAAATTTGGAGAAAAAATAACGCCACATTTTTAATCTAAGACACCTGTTATTAATTTATAACAGATAAAGTAAAATTTTAACTTTTCGTACTCCTTGTATATATTAGTTTAGAAATTGTAATACACCATAAAATATATATACGGACAAAAAAATTTGTATAACCCCGTATGGTAACAAAAAAGTGTGACGCTCAGTGTTTTTATATCGTTCTGTAGCGTAGATCAACCTCCCCCAGTATTTATTATTACCGTTTTTATTATCTATCTAAAAAAAGCGGTTCATCTTCCGCTATGTATCGAAAGACTAAAACGAATAAACAAAAACTTTTTTGTATTTATTATCATAACGAATTTCTTTTTTTCTAAAACCCTTTATTACTCTAAGATGCAATATATATGAGAAGACATACAGTGTGTTAATTAATTATAGTACCCGACGTCATCATTGCAAGTATGCAACCAATATCACAGTACTTGCAATGATGACGCCGGGTACGATAATTAATTAACTCAGTGTAGATCAGAAGCTTAAGCTTTAGTGGTTCTGTTATAATTTATTATATTGCAACGCAATTTGCCCGACACGACGTATGTAATGCGTTGTACAGTGTGTTAATTAATTATTGTACCCGACAAAGTATGCAACCAATATCACAGATTGGTATTGCAACGCGACGAAAGTTCCTAAAAACTATTTTAAATATACAAATAGTCTAACTTTCTGTCTATTTGTTTAAAATAATTTTTGTGTACCCATAGATTGAAATTAATGTTTAAAGTAGTGGTTATTTTGATTTGTTTATTGATTTATCGCTTAAAGCAACCGCTAAAAAGAATGATAGTTCTAAAAAAACGGTTTCAAAAAATATAAAGGCAGCAAAAAACGGTTAAAGAAAATAACAAAGCGTACGGCAATCACAACAATAACGCACGATCAGCTATCAACATCTGGTTATTAATTTAAAATTATCCAAGCTATCACTACATATTGAGATATGCAGCCAATATTACACAGGTCACGTTGGTTACGATAATTAACACAGTGTATTTTCCCGACGAACACATCGTACAAATCTGAAGTGACACTATTATGGTCAAACATGACATAAATAGAAAAGTTGTATTTGTTGTTCCTTACTGTGTACTTCAAGTCATGTCTCAGTAACGTAACTGTCTCGGCGTCTACATAATGCATGTGTATTGTAAAAGACTTCACTGTCAATTTGAATGCTAAAATGTGAATTATAAAATATTCCTGCGGAATGACATCTACAATTGCTCACAAAATTGAGTATACAGCGGAATGGAAGATAGATAATTGGGAAAATTTCAAATAATTATGAATTTATTTTAAAGTTTGTGATATATATGTATTAACAACAATCTTATTAACTAATTTGAATTCAAAATAATCCAGTTTTCCAAATAAAATAATAACAATATTAACAATAATAAAAAATTACTCGAAATTCACGCCACAAAATTGAGTATACAGTTAAGGCAAAGTGAATAAGTTTAGCTTAGTATTATCATTGTCTTTAAATATAATATTTATTTAAAGACAATGAAAATGAAAAGACAATTAATTGGGGAATGAAATTTGTAAAATTTGGTATAGAATCTCACCAAAAAGTTAGTGGACTCAATGTCACGGCGAATGCAGGCGATAATTGACGCCAATAGAGGGCCTACAGCGTATTAAAACATAATACCAACCTAAACTTATTCACTTTTCCTTTACTGTATAATCAATTTTGTGACGAGAATATATACTACAGTGAAAATGATAACGATTCATGTAAAAAAAATTAGTAAAGGTCCTCAAATTGTAAAGATACAGGCCATCAAAGTTAGGAAATTTTAACACATTTTTCGAAATATCTTAAACAATATTTATGGTAAAGCGTTGAAATTTGGTATAGTGTAAACCAGGTGTAAACTAATATCACGTAAAATCACCAGGCAATTTTTCAGTTGGATCGGTACGCGGGAACAATACTATACAGCTGTTCCTAAAGTTTGTTTGATCAGAACTTTTTTATTCTATCAAAACCCTACATTTATTTTTGCAGTTTCTAACAGTAAATTTAGTTTAAAAACTTTTATCACTCTTAGATAATATTGATAAAAACCACCGTTTTCGTATTAAATGCAAAAATGTTAGGTTCCGAATTCAATAACACTAAAAATAAAAATAAATAAATAATCTGAATTGGCAATGACTAGTGAAAATCGAACTGAGCTGTCATAACTAATATGTATGCAACATGTTCAAGTGTAGATTTAGCTAAATCACATTTTTAATTTGTTTTAGTTGGTTTAATAAAAGAATGCAAAAACAATAAATTAACAATCAACAAAAAATAAATAAAAAAACGACAACACTAACAGGAATAATAAAAAAGGTACATAAAATTACAAGACAAGTAATAAAAGTATTAAAGGAAATGTTCAAAAACTTAGATTTCTTTTTTTTTAGTGCTATTATTGAAATCGGAACCCAACATTTTTGCATTTAACACAAAAACGGTGATTTTTATCAATATTATCTAAGAGTAATAAAAGTTTCTAAACTAAATTTACTATTAGAAACTGCAAAAATAAATGTAGGGTTATGATGGAATAAAAAAGTTCTGAGCAAACAAACTTTAGGAACAGCCTGTATAGTATTGTTCCCGCGGACCGATCCAACTCATAAATTGCCTAACGAATTTACATCACATTGATTTATACTATACCAAATTTCAGCGCTTTACTGTAAATAGTGTTTAAGATATTTGGAAAAATGTGTTAAAATTTCCTAACTTTGATGGCCTGTATCTTTGAAATTTGAAGACTTTTACTAATTTTTTTTTACATGAATCGTCGTCATTTTCACTCTAGTATATGTGGTTAACTTTGTTCCCCGAGTCACCGAAACACCCTGTATATATCACAAACTTTAAAATAAATTAATAATTATTTGAAATATTCACAATTATCTATCTTCCATTCTCCTGTATACTCAATTTTGTGAGCAACTGTATATTCTCCCCTTCAGATTACTTCTCTCTCTATCATCCGTTTGTGAAATGTTGTGAAACTAAACGCTCGTTTACTTGAGTCGCTGGAAGCAGGAATACATAAGATTTTTCGTCGTATTTGAAGTAAAGGGAAATCCTTTTCATGACTACATCAATATCGTGATATATTATTATTGCAACGTAGTGCAACACAGTCCGACACTTATGTGACGTATCTAACGCTATTTACACGACGAACATTTAAACATAAATACTTCATCCAGCAAATCTGAAGTGGCACTATTAAGGTCAAACGTAAGCTAGCATGATGTATTATACGCAGGCAACGGCCATACCACAGTGAATGTACCAGTTATCGTCTGATCACCGAAGTTAACCACTGTTGGGGGCGTGGTTAGTACTTGGATTTTTGCTTTTCCAATAATTTAATAAATAAAATTATTTTTCCAAATATAGACGCCATTATCCGCCGTCTAAATAATACATGTGTGTTACTACCTGCTTCTATTGTTGAGGACACAAACTTTTACTTGGGTAACACAGCTACCTCAGCCTCTAAATCATGTATGTAGTACAGTGTGTTAATTAATTATCGTCATCATTGCAAGTATGCAACCAATAATGCGATTTGCGTATTGCAATACGAATACTGTGATATTGGTTGCATACTTGCAATGATAACATCGGATACGATAATTAATAGACAACCTAAGCCTTGACGTCATAGAGATGGGCGGAGCTTACACTGACTCTAAACATTTTCGTTGCTAACGGTAAATCACCATACGCAATTTTTCATTAGTGTTAAAATAAAATAAATTAAGTGATGACATTTCAAATGACATTTTTTGTCGATTTATCGTTAGCAACAAAATTGTTTGGAGTCAGTATAAGCCCATCTCTGTGACGTCAGACTTAGGCAGTCTATTAACACAGTGTATGTACATTGAAAAACGTTTTACTGTCTGTTCTTTTTCTAAGTACTTGAACCATTGCTTCAGCAACTCAATCACAGTCGATTTCTTCCTAACATTTCCAGTCGATTAAGGTCGTGTTGCACAGTTTTAGTACATTTGTTTGGGTATTTGTCAATTTGACATCCCCATATTTGTCAAATATTTGGTTGGCTTATTGGAATGTATTAATTAATATGTTTATAGTATACCTGTTTATCCCTTTTCCATTACAATTTCCATTATCGTCTTTTATTGGGGTGCTTTAAATCCCATAACCATTTTCGAAATCACATCCTTATCTTCACTATCTTTCGTCGAATAAGTTTGCAGTTCAAATTATTAAACAACAATATAAATTGTTATTCTCCTTTTAAATCGAGTTATTTACATTCCTTTTTCTACATCCAGCGTTTTCTAAACATAAAATTATCGCACAAATTAATTAAATTGCAAGACTTAATTATTAATATAGGAAAGTTTAAAAAAATAAATTTTAAGAATAAACAATTTATTTTCTTTATAACTGTGTTCTTATCATCATTAAAAATACCATAAACATATAATTAAAATTATTAAAGATTATAATTTTATAAGTGTGTACTAAAGAAATGAAGCTTACTCCACTTTACCAAATTCCTTAATATTTAACATTTTCAAAGTGAAATTGAAAAGCTTTTCTTGAAGCTCTACGTCTCTAGCTGTTTTACTTGGAGATTTTGGTTCGCAATTGCTGATATAACTACCGCCTAAACCTTCAGCTTTTGGAGAAACTGCTGCAAAAACAACTGGAACAGCACCTTTTTCTGGACTCTACAATATTAATTAAAATAATATTTATCTAAGAATATTATTACACAATTACTTTGAAAAAGAAAGCTATAGCCCACGGAGTAATCTTCTTAATATAAGTTCCATCAAATAAATCGGTATTAACAACTCCCGGGTGTACAGCGAACGATTCCACGTTAAATCCTTCTTCTTTCATCATTTTATTTAAATAATTTGAAAATAATAGCTGCGCAAGTTTTGATTGGGCGTAAGCAGCAAAAGACATGTACTCATTTCTTAAAAGAGAAATCGGATTTTTAAAATTTCCTTAATTAAATAAACGTAACTTACTTGCTGTTGAAATCGTCGAAACTAACAATTCCGGCTTCGTGAGCAATTGAGGAAAGGTTAATTACTCTAGATTTCGCTCCTTCAACACCACTCTGTTTTAACTTTTCCAACAACAAATGTGTCAACACAAAATGGCCAATATAATTTACACCAACTTGAGATTCAAAACCATCCTCAGTTTCTTCGAAAGGAACGTACATAATTCCAGCTTAAATTAGTAAAATTAAAATTACGTTTTGTTTGTGAGTGAGAAAAAATTTTTACCATTATTTATTAGAATATCCACGGTTGGATAATCATTACAAACTCGATTAGCGAATTTTTTCACTGAAGCGATTGAGCTAACATCTAAAGGAAGAATATTAACATCTCCAGTTAAAATTCCTTCTTCACGTATTTTTTCAATTAATAATTGTCCGGCTTCTTGATTTCTACATCCTAATGAAGAAAACGTGTTTCATTAAAATTTAACATGAAAAATAAACAAAAAACAAAGCATTTTTTTTAAACGATAGTCATTTTATACACGACCTTATGAATTAAAACTTAATTGCAGGTTTTTAAAATGTTATGTTAAAATAATTACATTGTGCTGTTTGTGTACAGTTGACGAGTTTTTTAGTTAATTTTGGATTATTGATGCAATGTCGCGTTTTTTTTTATTCATGTTTCACAACTGCTGGACATATGATTTTATAATGCAACTGTAGAGGTGTAACTGGATGATGACAAAAAGGTAGATCTCTTCACCTTATATCAAGGTGCCAAATATCAAATTCATTGCATCTACAGTTGCATTATAAAATCATATGTCCAGCAGTAGTGAGACACCCGAATAAAAAAAAAACGTGATGTGTTACAGAAAAATTGAAGGCATATTTGAAATCAGCAACCCAAAATTAACTAAAACCACTCAACTGTACAGAAATCTTGCAGCACAGTATAATTAAGTCTTTTGATATTTTTTCTATAAACAAAACAAAGATTCTCTTGTTGATAACAATATACGTCTGCTTTAACCTAAAGGCACCTTTAGTGCGAGAGATTTGGTTAAATGGAGATTCGTCGTATTGGCTAATGGCGATCTGTTTCTCCAAATACCCAAAAGTTGCTTGAGGTTTATGCTTTTCCGATAAAATCGTTAATCTTCTTCTTCTTCCTTTGGTTCCACAACTCTTGGTGGGTTTTAGCCCCCTCAACAATTCTACGCCATTCCACTCTACTCCTAGCTACTCTCCACCAGTCTCTCACTCATCTTCAGTCTTTAATTCTTCTTATATGTCCCAGCCACCTAATTCGCTGAGATATAGCAAAGCTGCTTATGTCTGCATCACCAGCCAGGGCATCAGCATTCTTCTTTCGAACTTTTTTAGATCTTCTTCGTCTCTTTTTAGTAGTATCCATGTTTCCCATCCGTACGTTACCACTGGTCTTATTAATTAATAATTATTTATTGTTTCCCATAAGGTTACAATTTATGCTAAGTACAATACTTATTTAAGATTTTAAGGGGTGATTTTTCAACGAAAATTAACTTTTTAGTCAAAATCTCTTCTCCTCCAAGTTATAGCCCTCTAAAGTTAAGGGTAAAAATCTGCAACTTTCTTATCTCTTGACATTTTACAACTAACAAATTGTTAGTTTGATCACAAAAAATAAAATAATGCTGAGATCAATTTGACATAACTTCATTTTTTTGACTAATAATAACCAATCT